GGGGAGTGGTGGCCTATTGGTTAGAGCATTACTGCATTACTTCAAACCTAACAGGGTGCACCTCTGGGTCCCTGAGCAAGACCATTAGCTCTGACCTCTGAGTTTATAACAGAAATAAGATCTGATCAAAAAAACTGTTTATCATTTAAGTAATAGTAATATAAGTCTTTCTATAAACATTCTGTTACTGGTGTTTATTTTCCACCTTGAAGCAAACTTTTTACACTTTTAAAAGCTTCGTCCAAATAACATTTTCCAGCTGTTTGCCATTTTGACCTGCATATAACTAAAGTTTAAAAGGTGTATAAATATATTTGTTTAACCTGTATGAATGACTAATGTATGTTATCACTTTTTTCCGTTATTTTGTTGCTGGGTGTTAGCAGAGAAAATGTTTTACCATTTGCTTTATGTCCTCCAGCACGGTGAGGCATCATATTTAGTGCAAATTTATTCACCTCATCTCACTTCTTATAAATGTAATCATTGGTTTACATGCTCACCAATGAATAAGCTGCAAATTCCTGCTTTTTTAGAAACACTGGAGGAAAAAAAGAATTAAAATCTAGACAAATGTTAATATTTTGGGGTTGTTTTATTGCAGCTTGCAGACTTTGACTTTTTACAGCAGGCAAATTCCAGCTCAGACATCTGGAGCGATGCTTACCGTGCGGACTGACTTGTTCTTACTGCTGACAAAACAACAACCATGCTGTTCACAAAGAGCCACCATTTATACCGCCTATTAGGTCTATAAATGGAATAGATATTGAGTTTGTAGAATACACTTTGGAAATAAATCTTTGGAAATAGTTAATATTTCTCTGGTGCTCCTTGTAAACACTTTTTGTCTGCAACCTTCTTACCATTTGGTAATGTGCAGTACTTTGCATGAACACCTATAAGCCAGCCCAATGTACACGCTGGGCACGAACTGTTAATGTAACAAAATCTAAACAGTTCACACACCTAGTCCCTCTCCACATTGGTATACTTTCATTTTCAAATCCATCCTCTGCCTTCTGCCTCACTCTTTACATTTTAAGATATCATAAAGACAGTGCAGTTTGCCTTTAAAGCCAGGATTTGATTTATTTCAGCTTCTATTTCTCATTCTTTCCATAGAAAAATGTCTCCTATTCTGCTCCATCTTCCTGAAACACACTGCAGAAGGAACCGAGATTGTACAACAGGAACCTTCTAGAACAATTGAGGAGCATTTAAAGGAGAATGGCAAAATCATAATTTCAAACCAGTTCTATTTTTTGGGCTTTCCTTTCAACTAAAAGCCAAAATAAGTTTTTATTATTGTTTTTCTATGTAACTGTGTCAGATATGCTATAAACGGGACCTCCCGTTTAAAAGAGAAAACCCACATGTTTTTACCATTAGTGTTTAAACTGGAACCATTCAGATTTCATCCCTATCTTCACCAACCACATGCAGACATAATGAAAGAGCAGCCTTTGTGTGATGGGATTTCTCTAAGTTTTGATCTGAAAAGGCTTCTGTTCTTTTAAACAGACCGATTCCTCGTGTTTTCACTCCACACTTCGCTCACTGCATAAAGGCATGTTGTGCAGAGAAACAAAGGGTCTCAAAGGAGAGCACCAAAGCTAAAAACGCTGCAGTCTCATGGATTCATGGTTATTTTGATGCACAAATACATGAAGGTTCCACAGGTCTCTAACTGTGCTGGCATTTGAATCCCATAAGACATTCAATATGATCTGAAGTCGATTTTTTTAAAGACTGTTTCAATAAAGAATAAAAACGTCCACTCTTGCCATTTCTCTAATTCACGAGAGCCTCTAAGAAAACCTGTCATCACTTCCCTTGCAAAGTTATCATGTACAGTAACCACATTAAATCCCTTTTCCTGTATTAGGTCCTCTATATATACCGTTCTAACATACATGTGTACATTTTTACTCATCTAGATCATGGCGACCACTGGTCTCCCTAATGCCACAATAAGCAAGAGAGCTTTTTATTTACTTCCAGGACCCGAATGTTTACATTTTGGACAGTTGGTTTGAAATGGGTGTGAAGGAAGCCATTTATGTTAAGAAAGAAAAACCGACCAGCGAAGGGGGTGGATTTAGGTTTCAGCTCTCATAAACCTACCATGTAGCAATAAAGTTGATTCCTTCTTACTATCAGTTCAAACCCCCACTCATATCATAGGGGACAAAACATCTTGCCTGGGCAGCCAAGCCAACAATTGCTCCTAATGACCCCTCTTTCAGAAGCATAGTCCAGTATCTGGTATTGTAGGCAAACAAAATTCCTAAGGAGTGGACCCATTCTTCTCGTTCAATTTGCATGTTTTCTAAGCCAAAACAAGTTTTTAGGCCACTATATAAAGCTTCGAACTCAATGCTAATTCTGACATTTTGATTTGAAAAAGCTTCATGGATGGGAAGCGAAACGTCTTCAAACTGGGATACCAGGTCCAGTCGATTGTCCAGAAAATTTTTGTTTACCACTTAGTATTTCTTCTGACATTTATCTAGGTTGGACTTCTTTTAAACATTTTGGTTATTCTTCCACAATAGTTTGCAGGAACTTCGGCCCAGTTATGACAGAAGTCCCTTAAGTGGGTCAGCTGCACCCACAGATATTTTAAAGGACTAAGGTCAGGTCTTTGAGATGGCTGCTCCAAAATGTTGTCTTTGTTTGACTGAAACCACTTCGTGACTCATCTAGTGATATGCATTATGCTTTTCAAAGACTCATTTGTTCTCAAATTGAACCTCCTGGGCCGTCCCTCCTGAAGTAAAATATTCCTACCGCATGATGCCGTCATCCCCATACTTCAAAGCTTGGATGGTATTCCCAGGTTTACCAACATATCCCTCCAAATGTAGTGATCCCCATTTATTCCATCTTCTCATCTAACTACAGCAGAAGTTAAGGTCTTCGTCTCTGAGTGCATTTCAGCCCCGGGTTTAATGGCTTCTTCCTCTCAGAATGGTGTTTCAGCCCACTGTAGATGAGGACATTTTCTTACCATGTGAGCCAGCATTTTCATAAAGGCCTTTAGTATTTATTCCGGACATGATGCACATTTCACAGGCATACTCCTGTGTGTATAATTGTTCAAAAAGATAAAAACAGCAAATTTAGACATCTGGAAATTGTATCAATATACAGTATCTATATATTTTCCCTAATGGTTGATTTTTTAAATTCCTGTAATAACATTAGATCCATTTACGGGGTCAAAATATATATTGACTGCTGTGCCTCTGTTAAAATCAACGGCCTAAACTGACTATCAACATCTAAATTTTGATTAGTAATTAATTAGGAATTTGGTAATAATTTTGGTGTTCCTGAGGGAAACAAAATAGGAAACATTTAGTCTGATTTTGTTTGTTTTTAGACAATGTATCTAGTTGAAACATCATGTATTAAAAGCAAAACTTTAACATCAATTGAAATTTAAATGCAGAAATGTCAGCCTACCAAAGGCCGTAGGAACTAGACAGCCAGATACATTAGCTGGCTGATATTTTGGGTCAATAATAGCTGTTTTATCGGCTTATATGTGCTTCTATCTGCAGATGCATCAGTGCATTTAGCTGCCATGTTGTGAGATCACATGATACGCGTGTATTTCTCCGTCCGTTTGCTATCCACTGTAAATATGCTGCGTTGGATTTGTTAATGTTGCTTTTAGTTTGAACAGTGACTTATGTAACATTTACAACCAATGTAATTTTTCATGTAAATGGTGGAAATAAACAGCTATTTACACCCTCTTCCCAAAAAATTATTAACACATGACAGTTAATGGACTGATGTTAAATAAACAGTATCTGCATCAAACTTAATGAAAGGTAAATCAGGCTTTATACACGAAGGAGGAACTCTAATTTAATGCTTTTTAATGCTCTTAGAAATAATTTCAATGCCATCAATAAGTACGCATTACTCTCATATATAGGATCAACCAGGAGCAGTTCCATGCAAACATGTGGAACCAGTTAAATCTGATATATTTGACAATTCTGACAATTTGACTTTTTTTTTTTTAACAAAGCATTTTAAATGCAATGATAATCACATTTAAAGAATTTTAATGCCAATTAAGGCCTTAATTTAAAAAAATAATAATCTAATGACTTAATGACCCGCAGAAACCCTGTAAATTACTTTAATAAAAAAAAGACAATTAACTATTTATTGTAATAATTTTAAAAGTATGTTTATTAATGGTACATTTAGTTAGCTTTAAATTTTGGAATTTAATGGTACATTTGTATAATGCTGCATTTAATAAATTGTAAATTTAAATAGACTTAATTTTACAAAAAAATAAATTATGATGCATTTGTTTCATGTTTTATTTAATGCAGCACTTATCCAATTATGTATTGATTAATTATTCCATGATACATTTTATATATATATATTTCTTATCCTTACTTTGGTTATTGATTATTTTTGCTATTTTATTACATCTGTGTGTATCCTCAGTCAATATTTTGTGTCCTAAGCCAACTCTGGTACCCTGTTACAAAAAAATAAATAAATAAAGTTAGAACTGTAAATTTGTCATATGTTTATATTACTGTTTTTATATAATTATTTTTTTTTAAACTATTTTTCAAGGCTGCACTTAAAAAAAAAAAGATGAAATTGTCCAGAAAGCTGTTCCAACTGAAATTTCTTTTTAAATGTTTAAATCTATGTTGTTTTAGAAGCTGGAAAGTTTATCAATCTCTGACTTACTCTCTAACTTGTGTTAAAAACTGTTTCTATTGGTCTTATAAAACACACTGATTTTCTGAGAAAATCAGATTTGGGGGTTTTATTAGTCATAATCCAATTTTTAAAACTTTAAAATATAACACTCTGTTGAAAACAAACCTATAAAACACACTTTTTGATTCATGAGATTCACCAATAGGAAATAGAAAGAAACAAGAAAAAAAAGTTTTCCCAAAGGTCAGCTGCTTCAGACTGATATAAAACAAATAATCAGACGGCACTTGTGTCTCATTTAAAGATAATACTTTATCTGTGTCCACAAAATCTTAAGTTCCAGCATGTTTATTTTCAAATAGTTACAGTTTATCTTTGAGAAAAAAAGAAACAAAAAACAATGACAGCTGGGGGGGAATTTAAGGCTCTGTTAAATTCTCTGCTTAAAAATAACAAGAAAAAAATATCCTGAAAACTCACAATAAAAGCAGAGTCTAGTATAAAATGAAGCTTAGAATTGGCTACCCATGTCATGTTTTAATAAATATGTTACTGTAATAAAAAGAAAAGTACAAAAGTTAAAAGTAGATGAGCTGTGCCAGAACTTTCACCGGACCACACGGCGGCGGGGATTTACATGTCAGGAATTTAAAGCGACGCGCGTTTCTCGTCTCGGGAGTGTTGGCAGACTTTGGTCGTTCCGAAAACCTGAAAGGAGGTTTAAAACGAAAAAATAAAGTAGAAACGGAAGACCTGCGTCTTTTAGAGACTTCGGGCTAGAAGCAGAAACATAATGGCTCATTGAGACATGTTCACTTTGGAGCAGGGCTGTTTTTTTTAGTTACTTCAGGTCACAGAGATGACGATACTGAACTGTCCCTAAAGTAAATATTACCAGTGTGTCCATTTTCAAAAAGGTCTATAAGACTACAAAGACATACCTTGATGAGGTTTAGAAAAAACACTCAGGCTGAAAGTTTTAAAAGACGATGATCCGCACGCCCGAGCAGCACACTGGTTTAAGTATGCATGCTTAAAAAAAGAAAGAAAATCTAAATGTTCCATTATAATGAAATACTTTATCAAATCCCAAATTTTAGACATGACACAAGTAATATTAAAGAATATAATAGTGATTAAAGCAGCCTTAAAAAGATGCTGCAACCTCACAAAACACTTCTGCTTAGTATGTAAGGAAAACCTCCATCTATAAGGACAAAAGTAAAATATTAAAAATAATAAGACAGGAATTCACAGAGGGCTGCTCTGCCGAGCCAGTTCGTATGACTGCTTTCAGGTTCGTTGAGAAGGCCGTAGAGGTTGCAGCAGAAGCATCGTCCAACACTTATCAAAAATAGGTCTCTCCCGTCTCTGGGACAGAGCGGTTACCTGATGCGGTAAGTTTCTTTTTCACAACGTCAGGTTATCCTCGGGGGCTTCAAAACGCCTGCAGGGATCGAAAAAGATGATTTCTGGTTAAAATAAATAAAAGCAGAATAAATTAAATGATAGCAGCAGATGCAACAGGTTTAAAGAGGGGCTTGTGGGGCAGCTGGAAATAGAAACTACAATGAACTTCCTGTTTTGAACTCTCAGGATGTGATGCTTTCCTCTTGCTGCCTTCTCCTTCATTGCTCTCTGCTCTTTTCCTCCCTGCTCAAATAAGCTGTGTCCTCATTTCAAAATACATTCAGCAGTCTTATCATAACAAGCCCAACCAACGGTCTGCAGCACCACCCACTCCCCTCTCTCTCTGCTTCCAACCAAGCCTCTCCATGCTCTCACACTACATTTGTGCAAGCTGCGTGTCATTTTTTCCCCTCAGCCCGTGAAGTGCTTTACACAGGCACTGCAGGAACATTTTAACACTTTCTGTCAAAAAAGAAAAAAAAAAGAAATCAGTGAGGAGCCAACTGTGTTGTACTGGACGCCTCCTCCCCCCTACCTCTTCCTCACTGCACCACGCAGGCTGTGCAGCACTGCTCCTGCTTCTCCGGCAGCGTGGAGTAGTTCATCTGTCGGACGATCTCTGCGAAAAGCTCGTCCACCATCGTCTTGCTCTTGGCGGATGTCTCGATGAAAGGGCAGCCCCACTCCTGAGCCAGGGCTCGCCCGTCTGAGCCGGCGACCTCGCGCTCCGACTCCAGGTCCACCTTGTTGCCGACCAGGATCAACGGCACCTTCTCGAAGCGCTTCACTCGCACTATTTGGTCTCGCATCGGTCTGATATCCTGGAAGACAGGGCATGGTTAGGAATAGAGCATATATCCTAAAATTATAAATACGACTCGTTTGCTCCACCATTATCAATTATCACCTTACACCAGTACTCCATCTGTTTTAAGAGGAAGTTAAGCTTATCTTATACAGCATTTCACCGATTTCAAAAAGCGCCTTACAAGAAATACTTGAGTACATTAGTCATGCACACTAAGGAATGTGCTATCATTTATGTAATCGTTTCACAAATACGCATCTTGAAAACATTCAAATAACAAAGCCACCTCTCCAGAATACTTCATTACACTCCATTCATATCCCATTCACTGGGATGGATAAATATGAGCAGACAGGGATATAAAAGGGCTGGGAATGAGAGAGATTAGGGTGGTAGGCATAAGGACTAGAAGGAATGAGGAAGTCTGGATGGGGATGAACGGGTGTGGATAAAGAAAACAAAGCATGTAGATTATTCAGTACTGTTATTTTTGATCTATGTATAGATCAACCACAGGATGTGCTGTGAGGCACTTTGAGTTTCTTAAGAGCTCAATAAATGGATTGTAGAATTGAAAAAAAAAAAATAAAATAGACAAACCTTTAATGACTTTATTTACTGCAGGATTCTAAACTATGACATCAATCAGACAACCTGCAACACATTTTTCTTCCATTTGTCACAATCCAAAGTAGAGATGAACCAAATATACAACCAGACCTATATTTTTTTTCTGTTGCATCAGCATTGCAGATCAACCAACACAATCAGTCTAACCTAATGCAGATTTTTGATGATTTTTTTGGATTCTTTAGGCTGATATTACATTTCCGAAGAATGAAGAAAGCAAATAAAATACAGCAGATGAAGGGGGCAGCAAGAGGTGATTATGAATATCAAGGCAAGGCTGCTAATTCGTGGTAATGAATAGGTTAGCGCAAAAAAATATCTATCTGGCCAATGTATCCGCCTATCTCTAATAGAATCGGTTGATTAATCGCTAAAACCGATTGATTTTTTTTTTTTTTTTTGTGGTTTCATTTTTGGAAAAGCTGGATTTATTTATTCTAATAGTCTCCTTGTCCTTACATAGCTTAGAGCGACATCGGTTCATCACTTTTTGTTCTTGGATGTGTACTTATCGCTGATAAACCTGCTAAATGTGTAATACCACCAGCCGCTAACATTTAGTTTATTGTATTTGCATTGTTTGTTGTGAACCATGATTATTTTACAAACATATTTCTCAGTTTGTCATTTAAATTAAGGTCACCTCAAAGAGGGGATGATTGAGACAAAGCTGGGGGTTTTTTCAAGGAAGTACAGGGCATTTGCTATTTCTAATTATGAATTTAAGTGAGAAAAAACAAAATGAAAACAAAAAACGCTTAACTGGACTCTGTAGGAAAATATATAAAAAGGAGGTTAGCCAAAGCAACCATTCCTTGAGATCCTGTAAAGTGCACAGTTTGCCGCCGCCTCCATTTGCTGTCATTTCTAAACATGTTTTGTTTTATTTGTAAATAAATGTTTTGTTTTTTTTTTAAATGAGAAATTTGTAATTCTTTCTCCTTAATTTGGTTATTTTATCATGTAAATAGAAGGGGGGAAAAAAGCAGATACTAAGGCTCTGTTTAGTTACTGTCAAAATGATGGGGATCGCATTTGGATATAAAATATATATTGGTTGAGTTCTATCGCAAAGGACAAAGAATGGTAATTGCCCAATATTTAAAACATCAGATATTTAGCTTTATTATTGTTTTTCCTAACTTCCTACATGACTCAGAATGTGACCTGAAGGCAAACGACATGTCAGATTTTGAGTTCAGAAGCGTCTCTGTCATCAGAGCTATTTGCATTCAGAAACCAAGTAGAGTGTAACCATTACTCCGAGGCTGATTTCTTTAGGATTAGTTCAGCACGTTGGAGAAGGTTGGTACAAAATGCCAATATTAAAAGGAAAGAAGAAGAAGGTGTGAGCACATGGACCAGCTCCTGGTTAAAGCTCCTGGATCAGATAACAACAGCTTTAATCGTCTTGGTAAAAAAAGATCCTAAAAACTAAAACTTTTTAAAAATGACTTAGCTTTTTTGTACAATCAATAAGTACCATAATCATTTCTTTGCTTAGTAACTTCTATTGCCCTAAACATAAATACTCTATAAGAGTGATAGACTACAGCTTTCTGATAAAAGTTTTATCTTTTGATAAGTTTTACACATTAATCACACTGAATATAAATATGTTTAAAAGTATGCTAAAACGAAGAGCTGTAAAATTAGACACATTTACTGGGGGGAAGCCAAGATGCATTTTTTAAATATGACAGAAATTAATTCAGGACATTCAATTTACATTTTTATTCTACACAATCCTCCACGTATTACACTAATTTTTCACAGATAAGACAAAGGTGCTGGTGAAAAAACAAAAGAAAAGTTTGGAAACAAGGTCCAGTGGATTGTTTTTAATTTTCTCTTTCTTTTTCTTTTTTTTTTTTGGAATGACTAATACCTGGATGACATATTTCACTCCATTTTGGGAAATACATCCCTGGAATAATATGCCAGTATGAGAAATAATTCAAAAAGCTTCCTGGATGGGAAGCGAAACGTCTTCAAACTTGGAAACAAAATCCAGTGGATTGTTTTTAATTTTCTTTTTTTTCCTCCTTTTTAAGAAAAAAAAAGGAAAACAAACAAGCAAAAATAAAAAAAAAAGGAAAAAAAATAAAATAAATCTGCAAGTATGCACTCACATATATTAGTGGCTTATCCAAATCATCATGAAAATGTATTGATTGATCAGTTAAATTACTATAATAATATTAATACAGTGTTTCTGACGTCATGTTTTTTTTTATCAGTATTTGTGGGGTTTTTGCACTGCGCAGCAAATAGACCTGTAACTAAAAATGTAGATTGTTATTAATCTCCTTTGCAATGAATATAAAAAAAGTTTCAGTTGGGAAAAGTTTAAAATCCACATCCTCATTCCCTAATCTGGATAAACTAATTTGTAACAGGTTAACATCGGGACAAAAAATAAAATAAAATCAGAATAACCTGAGTGTGCATTAAAGAAATATCAGTAATTGGTATTGGCCAGAGAAGATATGTGCATGGATGAAACTCTTGTGATTCATTATATTTAGGCAGGGGCTCATTCAGGCTTAAAAAAAAACAACAACTTTGTTTTATATTTTGCACATTTAACCCCACAATTCCCAATAATGGCGCCTGCAAATGTTTAATATGACGGTGAGTGTTGAGAAGCAGCACAGATGGGCTGTAGGTACCTGAAAGGACTGCTGGTTGACCAGGCTGTAGACCAGGATGAAACCCTGGCCGTTTTTAATGTACAGGTCTCTCATGGAGGCGAACTGCTCCGTCCCCGCCGTGTCCAAGATCTCCAGCACGGAGGGCGACGAGTCCACCTCGATCTCCTTCCGGTAGAAGTCCTCGATGGTCGGGTCGTACTTCTCGATGAAGGTGCCGGTGACAAACTGCACGGTGAGCGCGGACTTCCCGACGCCGCCGCTGCCCAGCACGACAACTTTGTATTCTTTCATTGGGGCGGTGGAGGCTGGCTAACGGCGCAGCTATACTCGCTCCATAAACACCGAGCAGGCCTGAAGGAAACGCGGACAAGTAAAGCGGAATAAAAACAAACCCCGTAACTTACAGAAACCCCGCTCCGATAGTCATATTTTGTGTTTTTTTCTGTCTCTCTTTCTCTGGGCCTGCGCGCGACTCAAAGTTGATGTCGGTTAACTCCGATGTTAGCTCACGGTGAAGCTAGCTCCTGTCTGGCTGACTTCCAGCTGAGCCATCCCGGAGCTTCACAGCCGATCCGACGCACCGCAGGTCGGCCTGGACTTCCTGGAGAACCCGCCGCCTACCTACAGACAGCGAGTCACGGTGATCCACATTTAACCTCCTCTAACCACGGCATGCCACTTTGCTCACCCACACATCAGCCCTCCGCTATAGCAGAGCCGCTTATGTCCGGGGCCTGGTTCTGGTTCCGGACCGGCCCGCCGAATGGGCAGCCGCGCCTCCTACAAATTATACAGTTTTCCAACGGTCCATCGGCGACAAATTCGTAGCTTGTTCGGTCTTTGTTAGACTCAGAGTGGAGCAGTTTTACCAGCAGGAGGAAAATCTTTTTCCTCCAACTGGTTTCTTGACGCCAACAGTGTACTTCCGCATCGAGGCAGCTTTTCACAATAAAAGCCTCTGCAGGGCTCAGTACTTTTTTTTTTTTACGGAAGTTGGAGCTCAGATTTGGGAATGACGTCACTGATGGGATATTTTCAATGCAGTTTATTTCTATAGCGCCAATTCACAACATATCCCTTAGCAAAAAATAGTTTATTTAAGTATACTAAAAGTGCACTAATTTCATACTTAAAATCAGCCAGTGCACTTAAGAATTTACTTATTCTAAACTAGAAAGATGGAGCTCTGACAGAGAGACCATGGAGTTCTGGTGACCAATGCCATCCTACCCTAATCGCTCACTTTAGATGGCTTGCTAGTTCCAAGTAGGATCCTAATGGTTCTAAACTTTTTCGATTTACAAACAATACAGTGCACTACACTCATTCAGACCTCAAAAGCAACAGAACATTTTATATATCCTCCTGATTTGTCTCTGCCTCAGAGGTCTACAGATAATTCTCTTGACTTATACTTGGCCCTCCATTTAAAGGTATTGCAGAGGATTTTCTAAAATTTTTTTAAAAGACCCGCCCTCTCCACTTAAAAAAATATGCACGTGCACCCTGTACAAGCTCCTGTGGGAGAGCACCTAATAAATGCCTTTTAAATGTGTTTAATTGCAGATTTTCGCACCCATTAACCACTCTAGATTTTTCAAATTCTTTAAAGGTTTTAGAAACTCTTAAGGCTTTTGAATAACAGTCATCAAGGTTCACCATTACTAATAAGTTTAATGTTTCATGCATTTTATCTTTACTTGCTTTTGTTTTCCTTCTATTTTATTGCCTAATTCATGTACAGCTGTAATTGTCTTTATATTGAATAGTGCTATACAAATAAACTTGCCCTGTATTGCTTTAACCCTTGGAAACAAATCTGGCTCATTACAAATACAGGTAAATCAAAGATGGCTAAAATGTTGATACAGTAATGTAAAAATCAGATAATACGCATGTAGAGCAAACAGTTTACGATTGAAAACCAAAAACTCAGACAGGATTACCATGTGTCGTTTTATTTAAGGTCAAACAGAAACAGCAGAACTGATTATAGGCACATATTAACTCTTAATACCTATACAGTGCAAATTAATTTGCGTGGAGCACAGTAGCACATACAAGTACCACAAGCAGAAAGCTGAATGAAATGATCGATGATTTAGGAGCAGCAGTCCGTCCCTCCTAAAGCGTCCGAGAATGATTTTCTTATGGCTTAGTCCTCAACAGCTTTAGGCCTTTTTCATCTCAGATAGGCCGACACTCAGTCTGTGATTGCTGCACTCAACTTATACTAAGATGCAATGACACACGAGACAAACGACTTAAAATTACTCATACACACATTCAATTTACCTTTGTGAATTAAACATAAAAATTACTCTTTGTACGATGAAGGCACATTAACAGCGGAGGATATGGTGACAGACAATACATGAACTTGAAAACTATTCAACTCTAAGTGTAAGAGAAAAAAAAAAAAAGGCCCAGTATTGTGAGATCGAGGTTATTAAAGGAACCACAGAGTCACAATAATGAAGCTTTAAGGGAGTCTAAGTATACTTTAATCATAAGAGATCTATTTGAACACCAAACAGTCATAGAGCTGTGAATCAGTTCAGGTGGACAGTTAATCCAGAACATGGCCTGGGGCCATGGCAGCAGAATTTCTGGCTTTACTAGCAAAAAAACACACAAAAAACAACTACTAAACAAACAAAAAACCCTTGACATGTTATTTTCTGAAGAAAAAAAAAAAGTTTCTGTAAAAATAAAATCAGCAGTAAAATTGCAGAAAATAATGTTAGATTTAAACCCTTTAAGCACATCTGTTGTGCATTATCTTCAAGTCTGATTTTAAATCTTCTGACCTGCTTTTCTTTCTTGTTATTTTTAGCCTACAGGAGGTAAAGTAACATGTATTCAATAATGACATTAATTCAAGAGCAAAGGTAGCATTAATTTCCTTAAGTTATTGCAGATTTTGTAGTAATCCACCTCTTCTTTTCAGTATAAATGGGTCTGAAATTTTTTGAGAGCAAATCAATATAGTATAGAGTGCATGTCATCACTAACACACAAACAAACAGATACCTCAAATATTTTCACGCTGCAATAAACAATAAACACACCATTAACAATACACTGATTATTTTTAGTCATCTGTTTTATCTGTATTATTCAAAATAAATTTGGAGTATTTATGTACATAAGTGCAAACAAGGTGAATATCAGACATTCTTGTATATTTTAGCCAGGAGAGACATCACCCAGCACAGCTGGGCATCAAAAGACTTCAGGACTGAAAAGTCAGCTCACCAACAAAAGCTCTGCAGTGCAAAGACAGTTTGGTCTACAGGAGGTGAATTAGCTTGACTCTAAAGTTTGTCCAAAAAGCCTTTTTACCTCCCTGACAAATAAGTGTTTGCTTTTAAAGTACTTTTTTTTCTGAAAAAAAAAAAAAAAAATAAACAAGAAGACAAAATTTTTTTTTCCAACAAAACCAAACAAAATAAAAACAGTTTGGAAATCACAAGGATTAACCTCTCCATATAATATATTTAAACACGACACAAGCTCATCTGACTTTCCTTTTTTCCCCAAACAAAACAGGTTTATGAGAATAAAAAAAAAAGTATGATAATAGGAAGGTAGCCATGTTGTTAATTTGTTGCCAGTGATTTTTGATTTATTTTATTCTTCAGTTTGGTAGAGTCTAGCTATGTTATGTGAATTCATATCTAAACTATTTTCATATCTTGTTTTGTTTGAGTAAAAAAAAAAAAAAAAAAAAATTATTATCATCAATTTAGAGACATTAACACGAGAACCATCTGGCCTTTTTCTTTTATATATAAAAAAAAAAAAAAAAAAAAAGAATTACTAGGCATGGCATTTTTTTTTAAATGTGTCACAACTTCATAATGTGGCTGAAAAAATTAAGCAGTTTTAATTTAATGTTTTGGAATTCATGATGGACCGTCAGGAAAATTAAATAACTGAGAAAAGTTGGTGGAAGTAGCCTGAGAAAGGGAGCAGCTAGAATGGCGGCTATTTTCTTCAGTTTTGCACAGCTGTTGAATTTAAACAAACTGACTGTTGTGGACTTCAGGATGATCTTTGAGGTTAACATATATGCAGCTCATGTAGAGCTAACAGGCCTCTAAAGACCTTATGGTTTGATTAATAGTAAAGACCTACAGCATCAGCCTCAAATATTGGCACAAAATCCTTGAAATAAATCTCTGTTATCAAGACCTGATGGCCACTATATCCTGATATTCACTCGTTTTCAAAGAGATTTTTTGTTTTGTTTTCCTTCTCTGCATCAATAGTGGAAACATCAATTTGTCTTTGTTCAATTGTTTTCAATTTTCCACAATTTGGGCTAATTAAAGTGGACATCAACCCAAAATCAACTCTATTTTGAAGATAAACTTTTATAATGGGGTCTCATGGGTATTTTACCCTGCATTTTGGTCATTTGCAAACCTTACAGGTAAAAATATATGGGATTCTGTAAATTAAACTCAAACTTAAAGGTTAATTTTTAAACCAGAAAAAAAAACAACAACAAAAAACTCTTTACCATTGATGCCAGTAATTGCTGGAGATGCTGTAAAGTTTCAGATAATCTAGATACAGGTAAGTTTTTGTGAAGTTCAAATGGGGCTGAAACCAAAAGATCAGATTTGATATTTTTTTGATAGTGTTATTGCTTTTAAATAGCTGGGTTGTATTCCTCAAATACAAAAAAAAAAAGATATCCCCATAGTGGTGCTAAGGATGCACAGTTCAGATGGACAGTTAAATTGAGTTTCTCTCGAGTAAATAGGAATTTTAGTTTAAGAAACACATACCAATAGATTTACTGAAAGTTGAGGGAACCTCAGTGTTTCATCTTAGGACACTGAAGTTTATTTATTGGTTCAAATCCACGTTCAGTCCTAAAAAAAAAAAAATAAAAAGGTGCCATGCTGACTTTCCCATTGTCCAATTAATATATAGATGAGTATTTAGTGCATGTTGTTACACTTCATACAGGCAGAAAAAGAACATGTGACGTGAAACATGGGATCAACCAAAGAAAACGTGCTTAAGAAAAAGTTTTGGATCTCAACAGAATTTTTTTTACAAATGCAGGTTTTTTCATTTTTTTTTTCCAATATCCACAACTTCAGTTTCACAGAGCTTTGACATTAAATCTAGTTCTAGTTGATTTAAATTTTCTGTGCCATCAGGCTCAGTTTTACAAGCTGTGCGCTAAAAACACTGTGCCTACATTCATACTAAACTCAAATGCCCCCCATCCTTGTATGTCAGCCTGTTTCTGTTTCTAATAAAAGTCCAGATCAGATGTTAAACTGTGTGTAAACACACGCTTCTTAGTATTTTTGCAGCCCATCGTGTAAAACTGAGCTTGAACGCTGAATTGCAAAGCAAAGTCCAAAGGGAGACATATGTGAGTTGATTGATGGAAACATTTAAAAAAAAAATTCTTACTGATACATTACCTGTTTAGATCTTTAGAATTAAATGTTGAAAAATATTTTTTGTAGCCACACCATGTAATGACATTAAATATAAATCTATATAACAATACATACAGTTTATACATCTTAACACAGTATCATCATGGTACCTCTGAAATAGTTTATATATGGTGATAGTAACATGTCAGCATGCCTTTCTTTAAGGGGGGCACATGTATAATTTTTGCATTAGGTACATTCACAACACATCAACATGATCTTAAATGAATAATGTTCAGTTGAAAATGCCGAAACATCTGCAGCATTTAAAAACAACCAATTTTACCTACTAATCACTGGTTCATTTACTTCTTACACTGACGATAAGACAGCACAGCTGTCTCTGAAAAACTAGATGTGGTTTCTTGTAACAGTAACAACATACTAAATGGGAGAGGAATCTTTAAGCGTTGATTCGTTCTTACAGTGTTTTGCCAGTGATGGTTTAAGGAGACTTGAACGAGGCACATCTGAATTTGGATGAAAGCAGTTTCCATTCAGTTTTCAAGTTCAGTGTTACACACAAACAAAGCACTTCCTCTCACTGAAAATAACAGGTGTTTTTCATTCCTAACTTTTAATTTATTTCCGTCATTGTCTCTCTTCAAAGTGATGATGTAAAGTCCGACACGACATTTTCAAGTTCTAAGATTTCTCCCTGAAGTGCCTTTACATAATAATCATGAGCCACTTTTCTACATAAAAAGCAGCTTTAAACTTATCAAACCACAAAGAAATTTCCTTTTTAAGATGGTTCTCTGCATTGAACATTTATGCATTATTTGGAGGAATTGACTAAGGTATTGCAATAAAAGGGCAACATCTTGCATATACAGACTTCAGGCACAACATTAGGAAACAGATCTAGCTCCTGTCTTGTGCAATGGCTGACATCAGATGGAAAAAAAAAGGTGTCAGTGCTAACAGTTTGCAATCATTGAGCTGATTAGATCATAATTGTGTTATTATAGGGTTAATGTTGAAGACACAACAAGTATGTTCTTTAAAATAAAATACTGGAGGAATAAAGACAAACTAACCCTTTCTTTACAGCCGTTACAACATCATCCCTCACAAATAAAATTTACAACAGAGCAGACAATCTCAGTGTAAAAAAATAAAAATGTTTAATAACTGAGCAGTCTAATCCATAACAGAGACAGGCCCCAGAATGTAGAAGATTTATTAAGGCAGTTTACTTTTCACTCATTGTATCTTTATCTCTTAGCTCCTGTTCAGCAATGACTAAAGTTGCACCAAAAAAGCAATGGCAAAGTTGAAACCTGTTGCAGGGACGAGTAGGTTAGGTCTTATGGGCATGTTGTGCTCCCCATTAGGTTGGTCAGCAAGTAAATTCTCACCAAATGGTAGATGAATAAGAACTAGAAAGGTTAAACCATCAGCATCATAGTTGCAGCCAGTTGTTATTGAGTTATTTTCTCGCTGAAGCACCGGCTACAACCAATCTGTACCCACCATGTTGATAAATACAGAGGTAAGTTTAGGCCCCTAGCAAACTGCAAAAGGTATTGCTGAAATGACCAGCCCTAGAAGGGTGGAAACCACTCCAAATTGCACCTGGACTCATTTGTGCTTGTTGCTGGGAGACTAAAAGAAGCTGCGGTGGCTTTCAGCCTTCAGTTTAAATGCAAACTATATCTGTTAGCAGGCCAAACGAAAGGCATAGCATCATATTGAACTAAGAGGAGTCTTGGCATGACTAGCTCAAAAGGATAAACGAATAATACAGATATTTGGTTATGATTCTTTTAAAACGCCTGTGAGGGATGTTGAGTGGCCTTCTGTTCTAATTTAACAGTGGTACAAATCTTCCCTACCAGGAAGAGCAGCTGATATAGATGGTCAGATTTTAATATATTAGCCAAGATTTTCTATAAACCATTATAAACGTCCTAAAATGGAAAGAGAGTAGGGTTAATTAATCCTCCTTTATTACTTTTACTTTAAATTCAAGAATAAATACAAGCTTCTTATAACAAAAAGCTGACTTGATAGCTCTTATCCTTTAACTTATTACAAGCCTTTTTTCATAAAATGTGGTTTTCTTGCTGATGAAAATGAAAAACATTTTATCTAGACCCTTAAAAAAATGGATCTAACTATAAGTAGTTAAATATCTACAATAATTAAAAATTACCTTCTTACTAAAAAAAGGATCTTTTCTTGGTTTTAAGTATCGCATGTTTATAGTGAAACTGATAAATATACATAAATGACACTAACATTAGGTTTGGGTTTCCAGTTGGAGAAATATTCAATATATTTTTCCTGTAGTTACTCTCAATTTCACAAATTTGCTCACTATTGCTTCATACTGTATTGTATAAACTTTTGTTTGGTCAAATGCTTGTAGTCTTATATTGCTGGAAAGCCTGGGTTTCCTTTAAACCCAGGACTCTAGTCCTTGAGGGCCAGTGTCCTGCAACCTCAAGGTGTCCTCAGCCTTGCAGACCTGAATCAACTGTCTGAATTATGTCCTTAGTGTTCAGGTTCTCCAGGGTCCTGGTAATTATCTAACTATTGGATTCAGGTGTTTTAAAGCAGGGACACATCCCAGCCCCTGAGGAAAGGAGTTACCCATTCCTGCTTTAAATGAAACATCTCCTCTGCAAGTACCAACCAGTTCTTTGTGGTGGAAATATAAGGGCGTTGTCATCAGTAGAGGAACATCTTGATGTAAACGCATATTCAAAGTAAATTCTGCAACCAGAGTTTAATCCTATATTTCCATTCAAATTGGCTGACTTGGAAAAAATTATGGTTGAAGAATAAGAGGCTATACTACAGCAGTGTGTGACCAAGATGGTGACCAGCATGGGGAGGAGATGCCAAGCGGCTCTCAGACCTTACTGAACTTCTGTTAAATTGTCAATATGTCTTGTTTCTTAAACCTCTAAAAATCCAATCTAATGATAGATTGTAAACTAATGTGAACAGTGAGATGTTAGCTGCAGTTTGCTGACGTACTGGCAAAGAGAATTTGAGAAACTAACATATTCAACATTGCCTATTAACCCAGTGGTGCAGTTTCCTTACAAATGGGGCACAATTTCATTGAGATAAATTAACCATACACTTATATAAGGTTTATAGCCAAGATGCACCGCAAAAACAAACAAAAACAAACAAACAATTACAATTTACCAAAAACACAGTGTCCTTCAGTTTTGTGCTAATAAAAGGAAATTCTGCAGAATGAGAGGGAACAGATGTGATACCCTTTGTGGAGAACATTGCTGTGATCAACCCATGTTCTTCTGTTTTGGAAATTTGTTTTAAACTGATGTGAACGGTGAATGAAAATAAAATACTCTTAAAGTTTAAACCCATTGCATCCTAATTTGATATATCATTACAATGCTTTATATTAAAGTAAATTTGCTGCTTCAGTCCAAAAAATTATAATTATAACTAGGCAAAACTTAACTTAAATCCTAGTTACTGAAACACAACCATAATATCATAACAGTTTAACAAAATCTGCCTCCATTTGAAGCCCCTAGCTGATATGCAACACACTTGTAGTTGATATTGCCTTTAATTCTAAATATGGACATCAATTCATCTTTGCTGTGAACATTTTTTAAATATATATTTTTTAAGAAAGCCGGTCTTCTCTGCTGCTCAGAAGAATACTCAAAGGCACAAACTATTTTTCAACAGCTTCTTTCTGACATGTCATCAGGCATCAGATGAGAATTAACTGAACAATATACAACACATGGTGCAACACATATGATTTTAGTCATCCTGAAACATAAACGTGACACGTTATGGAACATTCTTTCATTTTTTAAAACAAGTCATGGTTGTAGACCATCAGCAGGTCCGTTTGCAGCTCCAATGTTCTGAATATCCAGAGAGAACTTTTCATACTTTGGATCAGTCAGGTGGGTTGGGCTGCCTCAGGAAATGGCTGCAACCCATAAAGGGCATTTAGTCTTGAATGCATGTATGTTAAAGAGCCCACGTTTAAGTGTGGTCATGTATGGCTGTCAGAACGAGGGAGCTCTATTGCTCATCGCGTCAGTATGCATCTTTATGGCTGCAGTAAAGCAGCGTTATTATGTTCAGGCTTGTATTGCAGTTTTTTTTTCTTAAATCTTATAAACATTGTATAAGAAGTTTCACACTGACACTCATTCAGTGTGCACTGTGGGAGAGGCACATGTTTGCTGCAGAGCTGCAGGTTTTCAGGAACTCTAACTGGGGTTTCGTGAAAGGCTTACTGAGTTTATTCCCACTGGAGCTGCCACCAGCAGTTTTGGGACAGGGCAGAAATGGTTTTCCATGGGAACGCACTGCAGTTCCACCGGTTCAGGAGTCAGAAGCTCTGAGGAGTCTACTGAAGGAAGCAGAGAGAAATAAGGAACAATGGGGTTTCATGACAATCAGCAATTTCTAAAATCATAATTGCATCTAGTGGTCCAACTGACATAGCAATCAGGTTTATCTGCCTGTAAGTGAGATGCTGAATGGTGTGTAGTTTTGAAGTCATAAGTGAATTCCACTATCTGACTTTAAATACATTATACAACTCAACACACTAAGATCATGGGCTGATGTTCATTTTCAGATAATGCAACCAGTGTTGCAGAGCCAAACATCCTAAAATTAGAGCTAATGCTTGACAAAACTCTAAACTCGGTGTTGGAATCTCATGCAAGCCTGCACCTCAGACGTGCTCAGTGCTTAAAATTTGGGCAAAGTGTTGTGCACCATTACTAACATGCCATTATCAGCAACTGATCCTGCTGATCAAGATATCATAGGTCAAAAGGACATGCTTCCTCTGCTCTGTTCACACCTCTGCTAGCTTCGCACTATGTCACTCTCATTCCAACAAGCTGTGTTACCCCCTCTACAGTTCATAGTTCTTACAGGTTTACTACTACCGTATATACATATCATAATATAATATAGGTGCGTTTAATTCAATCCTCCTTTCCTCAATTTTCAGTTGATTTCCAGTTGTAGCTAAAGATCCAAAAAGGAGTAATGTATTATGCCTTCTATCTAAAACTAAATTAAAAGGTAGCTAAAATGCTTATTGTCAGGTTAACCAGATCTAACTATCAATATCTTTGTTTGGGCTCAATTTGAAATGCAATGAGGGCAAAACAAAAGTACAATTTCTAACAGTCCAGCATCAAACCACAGGTTGACCTGATAAAGTAATTTCCATTGCATGAAAGGACAGACTTTTATTTTTGTATTTCTTAATATTTCATCTGATTTCTGTGGAATCAGTCCAGTACCCAACCATTTGTTTGGATGTTTTTTGGTTTGGTAAACCACTTAACATAGACATAAAAAGACTCCCGAACTCAAAGTGATGAGTCTCTTTTATTCAACATAGAAAATTTAGTGAGAAAAACTGTGTGTAATATGTATGCCCTTTAGTAACTCTATGTCTACTCTTCAATTTTGCTTTAATGATCAGGTAAAGTGATTTGCAAGACAAGGCCTTTAAAAGGAAATTCAAAACACCTTAAGAAACATTGATCAAATTGTTAATGGATTTAATTCATAAAGCACCCTTTTAGTCTAAATGACCATTTTTGACAGAAGAGCCACATTCACCCATCTGCATTCACAAAAACACACACATTCATACACATTGATTACAGCTTGCCTTAACTTGGAGCCAAACTATAGAGGAAATTGAGCCTTATTGAGGACTTATCTACCCTTAATTGTTGCCCCTTAAAAAAATATTCAAATAAGTGTGGGTCATCATGTGCAGAATATGAAAAATAAATTATGCTTAAAACATTTGCCAAATTTTATAAATTAGTTCATTTGGAAATGATCCTGAGGTAGTGTGAAAGGAAACGATGATAAATAAAGATAGACAAATAGGTTTACAAATCAAATTGGGAATGATTTATTCATGTTTTCCTTACAGGTGTAGTCCACAAGTTTTAACTATTGGAATAATTTAAGTAGTGGTTAAATCTGATTATCTGACCTAGTCCTCTGGTCTCTACGGATGATGCTTGGATTCAATATCCAATGAAGTCATGGAAAATTAGCTTGACCACAGTTAAAATGCACTAACTTGGATGCTAACAGACCTTAACTACTCGTAATGTCCATCTGTAGTTTAAACACCAAATTGTTTATGGAAGAGGAGGGAGGGAATGAAATATAATATAGGCCAAGTGATCATCATATCATTTAAGCTTGCGCCATATCAACCAACTGGTTTAATTTTAGGGTCTTTTTCTCTCTATTCACACTGCAGGCCCTGTGCATGCACACCTGTATAAGAGGGATGGCTTTTGGATCTTTCAGGATCGGAGGGAGCTTAAGTGTTAACATTTTATATCTCTCTCTACTCATGTAAGAAAACTATGGACCAGTTAAATGAGAATGTGGAGTAAAACACCATCTTTATTAAGCTACCACAGCTACAAGCCCTGACGAATCTTCTTGGTATTTCATTTTGGGATCAGTCATAAGGTAAATGCTTTAGAAAAAAATAGCAACTGGTTTTAATTTTTTTCTTCTTCCAATTAAAAATCTAAAAAAGTAACAGGCAAATATAATCAGCCCCTACTACACCAGCAGGCTCTAAATACAATCTAGTGAAAGTACTTGATTTCAGAAGCAATCTAAATGAACAACAATTCAATATTAAGTAATTTAATCTTAGCAGAAATATGGCTGCTCTGTAAAGTCCTGGCAGATTGGTACGGGACATCTTAAACAAACAAATCATTTAAACTATGAATAAGACAGTACAGTATGAATGAATTATTGTCAATGTAAGCAAAATAATTAAAATGTTTTACAATTTAGTTGAGGTATTTTCTTTTTAAAGGTAATTAAACCCTGCTAGGTATATCACATAGTAAGATAAGCCAGTGGTTCCCAAACATTTAAGCCAGTGGCCACAAAATACACATGGGGACCCCATAAAAATAAATAGTAATTATATTTCTTTTTTAAAATAAGTTTTTTCCCCCCATGAAAATGCATTGAAGAATTTAAAACATTTCATGGTGAATTTATTTTAGTTGATTATATACTTTCCCCCTATGAGAATCATCTGCAACATGGAACCGCAAGAACTTAACTTGTAAAGCAAGAGGTTTGGCATGAAAAGCATGAGAGGCTCCTCAGGTTCTAAGTGATGCTCCCCCACAAAAAAAGGGAAAGCATTAACGTTTGGATTCTTAAATCAACTCCTGTTAGGGATGAGCTGTCCTGTTTGTCAAACAAACTGCAGCACAAAGCATCAGGGCTGAGCATTGATTATTCTTCTCTTACTGTGCTAACCTGTGGCAACACTGACAAATAATATCGACTCAAACTTACTTATTTTTCCTAATAAATTATTTCTTTATTTGCTTAAATGTGGACTAACGATGCTGAACAAGGACATTTGGCTGAATTTTATTAGCTTATTGTTTGACATAAGCTGTCAAAAGCTGAAAAAGTTGCTTATTTTCATAAGCTGTAGGCGACTCAGTGATAAATGGTGAACCTAGAGCTGGACGATATGGCCAAACATGATCTCATAATATATTTCTTAATTTCAGTCAATATGATATAATAACAATATCCATCAAAAAAAAACAAAAGCCTCAGAGAGACTACCAAGAATGCCCAACCAGAGATGCTTCCACAAACTAATAACAATTAGTTTGGCATGCTTATAAAACTCCTCCTATATAAAACTTTTGAAATGCATGCTTTAAAAAAAGCGAAACAGGAACATGGGAATGTCGGTCAGTGACAAATGCTTTAGTATAGCTTGTAAATTGTATTAAAATATCAGAAATTTCATGTCTTCTTTATTGAATAATATATGAATATATATGATACATATTGTTACTGAGTTAGTGTCCAGCCCTAGGTTATCATATAATGTGCATCAAACTTGACGATAATTAAATCCACAAAGTAGCAGTGTGCCATGGGATATTCTTATTTGATAGCAACAGTCGCTCAGGGTAGGAAGGCCATCGCACAGTTGTTATGTGGTTTAATAACAAACAAAAAATTTTACTGAGAAAATGGTTTCCTATTTTAAGATTTTCAAGTTTTCCGTAGCTTGTTTGACAAAACACTAAAAAGTGACAAAAAATGAAATGTAAACAGAACTTCTTACAAGCAGATGGTTCTTTAACCGAATAAATAAAATGAGACAGTGAGCTTGACCTACAGAGCTAGAATAAAACAGAACTGACATGAGAGAGCAAACCTGATTGGAGGTGGCGGATTCAGCGAAAGGAACATTGGTGACGGGGGTCGAGGCCGACGAAACAGTGGAGGTGGCACCGTGCATCATGGGAACTTTAATTCAGGCGAGTCAGACGAAGGACAGGGGAATGTGGGAGGGAAGGGAGGGGACAGGAATGATATGATTATCATGGCATATGGGCAGAAAAAAATAAAAATGGGATATCAAGGGATGTAGATGAGTTTAAAACAGATTACAGGAGACATGCAAACAAAAGAAGGGGAAAGAAAAATACACATTCCATTAGCTAACCGCTTATTAAATAAACCACTAACCATTAAATAGCAAACCAAACAAGGAGAAACACAAGCATACAATCTGATCAGACTGGAGAATCTGATAATTGTATTTAATGAACTGGGAATGTGTATGAGAGGAGCAAATGATCCATACATTTTCAGTTCTAGGAATGATTTAAGGGAACCTAAAGTTACATTAGAGGTAGAAAAAGGCTTTCGTAGTCAAATATTTGTTTCTTCTGACTATTTTACTTAAAATAAAAAGCTTAAATCAAAAGCACACAGGTGTGTTAGTGAAGCTTGCAAAGCTTCTCTTCATCTTTGAGTGTTGGTTGGTTGGATGAAAACCAACACTTTCTATATGAAATCCACCTCCCATCTGTGCTTTCCCTCTTCTTTTGAGACATGTCTACCATCACTATCAGAACCACTTTTTACATGGTTTACAAAAGTGTATCAGAGCTGGTTTTTCATGTGGGTTCTTCTGCAGCTTAGGGCCAAAACCAGATCCTGTTAACAGACTGGATTAGGGGGGGCACCTTCTCCAAATGGGCCCCTTTCGCTCTACCTTGATTTCACCCATGTGGATTCCTGTCCTGTTCTTGCATTCATGGTTAAACAATTACTGGAATTAAATTTTAGTCCACAAAAACCCACAACATATACTCTGATGCTAAAATCTTTGATTTAAGGTGTTTGGATTGTTTTCATAGCTACGCGTTTAGAATCCAGCATTTGATCTACAAGCAGTCAGTAAAACAAGGGTTGCTCTTATTAGCTTTGTTAATTTTAGTATTGACTATAATATAACCTCCTTCTTATCTTATTACATTTTTATTGACTGTGGGACTTGGAGAATTTTTTAAAATATAAAATATGTTATAAATAATTACTTATTAGTGTTACTGTAAATGGTCTTCAGATTAACTTGAAAAGAATTTGTTGAGAAATTCATTGATGAGGTTAAGAACATGAATGACCAAGTCTGATGTGGAAGGTCTTATCCGGTCTGCATGTTATCCTGACCTCGACCTATTAGAACACCTCTGAATTAAAGTGGACACTATGAGCAGGACCTTCTTGTCAGTGTTTGACCTCAGAAATGTGAAAGATCAGATACAAATAGTAAATAATTGTTAAAAATTCCTATAAACCCACTTTTAAAGCTTATGGAAAAGAGGATGAGCCAACATCCTATAAAACCCTAGTAATTAAAGGAATGCAACTCAATCGAATGTGTGTGTGTGAAGGAATATAAGCAAATACTCTGATAAGATAAGGTCAAAGTGAAAAAGGAGTGTGCAAACAACTAGGTTCAACTTGTGATCCAACAGCTTTCACCATTTAAGTCGTTTCTCTCTTTTTGACTTTCTTTATAAGAGATTTAATTTCCTCTCTCCAAATTCACATGTTTAAATCCATGTTTGTTAACATTTAGTAGAATTTCTTTTTAAGTTGTATGACTGGGATTACATCTTTAGGGTATCTTTCCATAAGCTTCTAACTTTATTTGTTGGGATTTTGGTTTAATTCTCCACATAGAATTGTTAGAACTGAGTCAGGTTTGCAGGCCTCACCCCATGCACACCTTTTTTTTTTTTTTTTTTTTTAACTCTGTCTGCACATTTTTTGTGTGACACGGAGATCACTGAGTTGTGATAAGCCAAACATTTAGCATCACTCCCCATTAGGAATCTGTAACTCCTCTGTAAATAATTTCCAGTCATTGGGCCTCATGCAACAACATTTTTATATTCTTAACATAAATTTCTTGTATTTTTTCTCCTATTGTGGGCTTCTTACGAATGCGCCACATCAGATTCTAAAAATGCTTTTAATTTTAGTAAATGTTAATAAATAATCCTCCCCAGTTATACCATATAAGGCTAAAACTCCACACACTTATTCACTATAATGGCATTGAAGACGAAGCAGAGAGACTTTACCCGTTTGGAGATTGAGGTTCTGCTGACTGAGAACTGAGCAGCAGTAAAGGCCAGTAATGAGGAATAAATAAGAAGAGCATTAAATGATGTGGTAGCACTGATACAGAAGTTAAAAAAACAAAACTAATAATAATAAAAAACATTTGATCCAAAAATAGTCACTAAAAACTACTGATGGAGTGAAGAGGTGCAACATATGATGATACTTAATATGAGTTCAAGATCAACCAACACAACAACATTCTGCTAAATGTCCTTCTGATACACATGTATGTGTTGTACATCTCCACATCACGTCTTTCGTCCCTTCATCACACTCTCTATCTCTCATACAACACATAAACATAAAAATGTTAATCATGAAACTCTAATTTTAGCATTTTAGACAGACCCAAACATTCCACATTTTATGTAATAACAAAGCCAAGGAGCTGCCATGAAGTGAAATGAATGCATGTTTTAACATTTAAGGAGTTTAAAGCAAAAAGTTGCTGAACTTTATTCTTAAATTTTCATTCATTTTTTGTTCCAGATGTTATTTCAGTAGTAGCTTCTCATAGAGCTTACTACTGACCGGTCTCAGTTTTTGACGAAATGACAACAGTTTAAACCAGTTTCTCCTGGATACCGACATGCTAGCTGCAGGTGTAGTGACTGATAGTTCTATGATTAGTGAATAAAAATGAAATTTATAATTGTGGAGTTACATAATATAAACTGATGCAGCCTAACATAAATGGACAATTGCTTCTCAGTAAAACAAATGTAGTCAATGAGTGAAAACTGGGTTTTGATAACAGCTGACTGATAAGGCAAGACTTGTCAAGTCGAGAGCACTCGTAAAATTAATTCATATCTCAGAGATTAGAAGTAGGAGAAAATGGTAAATGTGCCATATGTGCCTGTATGAGTGATTTAAATGGTACAAATGGTTCTTGCATGTGGCCCAATGTTCTTTTCTTTTTATCTAATTTGGGATGAGTGCCATTCGCTCCTGCAACAAAACACCAAGCAAATATAAAGCTGACATCTCTGTATCCCACTGCTGGGATGGCGTTCTCAGGCATTCCTCTTTTTGATCAAGATGTCACACAGCTAATTATTGATAAACACCAGTCTTAGTTCCGTCTAAATAAGGTCTTTAGTTTATTTGCAAACTGTATTATGTTTTACTCCTTAAAAGTTCCTTTTTCCATGTTGCATTGTAAACCATGCCTGTATAATAACTTCAATGTAGATAATGACTCTCTTTTACCATATATAAAAACAGGCCTCATGAGGCCTTTATTTATTCATTTTTTGTTACAATGAAATTAAATTAAATTCAAATATAGTTGCTTGATCCCAAAGGTAAATTCTGGTTTCATGTCCATATTTGACACCAAAACAAGTTGATGACTGGGACACAAAACCTGCCTCCTCCTGAGCAATATGGTGGCTGGACATTTCCATGCTGTTTATGTTTGCAGGTGACTGTTCTAAATGTTGTACTTTCATGCATCTGGAAAGGTTACCCCTGTATGAAGCATATTTGTGGAGATCATGTTGTACTTTCATGCATCTGGAAAGGTTACCCCTGTATGAAGCATATTTGTGGAGATCTACAAGTCTCATTCTCATATCTTGGTTGATTTATTTAATATTTTACATGATTTCCAAAGGTGTTGCCATACAATAGTACCAAGGTCATGTCTGCATTCGTCCATGCATGTATTCAAATGTCAGGTTTATGCTTCTACTGTATGTGTTATTGGATGCTCCTGATGTTGCATCCACACTCACCAGTGGGGATGAAGGCTGGTTGCTGGAGCTGCATGTTAGCCAGGGCTTGCTGATAGTGGAACATGCTAGGGTTAAAGACTGCAGCAGCAGCTCCATTGCTCTTTTCTAAGATCGGCCTCTTTGGCAGCGACTGCACGGTGGCTGGAGCCAAAGCCTGGCCAGAGGGAGAGTTTAAAAGAATAAAACACAGAATACATACAGACTTTTAATTTACAGAAGTTAGGTATTAAATGATCCTAAAGTAATATCTGGATAATTGCAAAGTTTACATTTCTACATCCTCCTACATTGTAAGTATCTCTCCAGGCACCAGAGGGCACTATAGCACAAAGTTAAAGCATACATAAACACCTGATGGGCAAATCAAAACAAGAGCAATTACAGCATGTTTCCATTCTCCAAGAATAGGCCATTGTGAAGCACTCATGTGAGGAAATTCTAAGTAATATTATTTACATGGGATAAAAACATTTTAGGATATAATGTCAGCCTGACCCTGACATATCTTCATCCATCCATAAGATCCATTGATTCACATTTAAAAAAATGGTTTATAGTTAAGGCACTCTCAGACCTTCCACCCAAACCTCTGTAAGGAAGGACTCCATAGTTTCAACACTGAACACATCATTTAAACAGTCTTGTTTCTCTTTCAAGGCCCTAAACTGGAACTCTCCTCCCACTGACCTAAAACTTAAGACTGATTAATAAAGGCCTTACACAATGCCAACTTTTTCACATGAAAAAATAAAATGTGTGTCCTTTTACTTTATATCTTTCTTATTCAATTAATTTCCTTTTAAATAAGAAAAGTATCATAATAAAAAGCACGGGGTGGAAAAAAGCATGTCAGATATAATGCTTAAGAACAATGTCTCTGATTTATTCCAATGCCTTTGAATTGAATAAATCGCAAAATAATATGCTTCTTTAAACAAGAAAAATAGGAAGAAAGACAGAATATAATTTATTTTTAGTGCTTCTTAAATTCTTGCTCCTTATCATATATGTACATACAATATTTGGCTTATTTCTTATCATCAGGATACGTTAAGAGATACGGTGGAGCAGTGGCAGCTGGTCAATAGAGGGCGATAGCGCACCGCCCCACCCACCCAATGACCCTGATTAAGACATTAAAAATATATATATATTTTTTATAATAAAATTTTAAATACAAATTAAAAATATTTTGACATTGTTTTTTTTAGATGTGCAAGATAAATATTTAATCTTTAATGACAAGTCTGATTGATCATGTATTTCTGCCCTAGGGCAAAAAAAATTTGTTAAAAGTTGTACATTCACAGTAGTTTGTTTCCAATACAAAGGTATAGGAGAGCTCGGGGCACAGCTCTGTGGCCCCCTGAGCTGACAGGAATTGAATTTGCTCATCACCTCGACCCACAAGCGCAAATGTTTTGCAGGTGATTGACAAGTCGAGTTTTGGGAGTTGGAGACGCATCAGAGAGAGAGAAATGGTCTAAAAAAACATCCTTTTTCAGGACCTGGTTTAGCTATAAGGCTTGGCTAACTGCATGGAGAGAGGCTAAGGCTTTATTCTGCTTCCTCTGCCTTTCGACTTTACCTTTTTCAAACATAAGCATCTAAACCCAGCATGGATAAAGACAGGTAAGTCTGATTAAAGCACTTTTTAGAAAAGGCAAAGAAGAATAAACAATCTGGGATTCACATGGAAAATAATATATTATAGTATACTTTTTCTAGATATTTGTTAATTTGCATATTTGCTCTTAAATACAAATTCTCAGAAAATAAATTGTTTTTATATATTAAACAGTATAAAGCTGAATTTGCCTTCATAAAGCCTCAGAAGGGCAACATTTATGTACAAAAAGCGAACCTCTTCACGAAATTATGTTTTGTTTTTAAAAAGTGTTGATTGGTTTTTGGTATACGTCTATTTTGAATTTATAACCCCCCCTGGACAAAACTTCACCGGATGCCACTGCGGTGGAGAGATTTTTTTATAGACAAATATATAAATATAGGATAAAACAAGACTGTATAATCTGGTGGGAGATGATGCAATATACAAAATTAGAAAAACCTTAACAATCTTGAACCCTTACAAGGACTGGGAATTTCTGGTATGTGCTCTTATCACAATTCAGTGAATAACCCACCAAGGGAGCAGGCGCTGTGTTTTGACTGGCTTGGTGCTGTGAAGCCTTGATCCTGGCCTGAAGGTGAGCCGGTGGGTGGAAGTATTTGCACTTGTCCCGGCTGCAGCGTCCCTTTATGTAGTCCATGCACACAATGACAGAGTTCTCGCTGCAGTCCACCATGCCGGCCTCCAGAGGGTGAGCATAGCGGCAGTCGCTTTCTCCTCGTGTGCAGTTACCACGCTGGAATTCTCTGCAAACCTGCCAGGGCCGCCAGAACACCGATCAACATTTTCCTTTCATCGTTCTTTGACTAAACATAGAAGCACAACAACTGTACATGGACTGCATACCTCAAGCTTGTCTGTGCGGGCGTGTTTTTGAGCCGAGGTGCCGTTGCCCATTGCTGTCAGGCTAGTGGGACTCCCGGGGACGAGAAGGGGAGTACTGGGCAGTAGCTCCGGCATCAGGCCCATGGCTGGGCCCATGTGGCTCAGATATGGACTAAATGCCATGCTGGGACTGGTTGCAAGGGAAGGGTTGACAGGAAAGGTTGTCTTGGAGCAAAATGAACCACAGAGAAAACAAAACAGTTATCTATATTATTCTTACTTAAGGCATTGTAAGAAGTCTCCAGCTGAAATGTGCTCGGTACAAAGGATAGTTGAATAGAAAAGCAAGTAAGACTTTCAGCTATATAGAAATCAGTTTAAGCAAACAGGCATTTTAAAGCGTAGATGTTCAATGGTGAGTTAAATGATTCATATTTATAGAAACCAAAATTTTTAGAAAAGCCACAAACAGCTTGTCACTACATCCCTAATTTTAAACATTTTAATTTCTATATATTTTGCTTTCCAGAAGACAAAACCTTTAATTTGGTATTTCTTATTACATCTGCAGGTTTACTGTTTGCTTTTTGGAATGCATACAGTTGACTAATATACTAATTTGACTTCATTGAAATGTGTAAGACTTCAATCTAACTCCAGCTGTTGTTTGTCATGCTAGAACAATCGGACATTTGTTCAGAAAGGCACGCTCGCTGCTGGGCTGTTGAATCTGCCACGAAGCAAATTAAAAGCAGCCCAGCAGGAGAATAAATTAAATGAATATTATGAAAACCACAGAATTGTGAGCACAATCTTAGATCAGTTTCAGTCGTTGTTTTAGTGTGTGCTTTCGTGTAAACTGCTCACAATTGGCTGCAGCTGTGCACCGGGCAGCATGAACTGCATCTGTTGAGCCAACATGGCAGCCGCGGCCTTTTGCTGGATCAGGTTGTTTCTTCCATTGATCTCCAGCTGGGTTTTCAGGTGCGGAGGTGGGTGCAGGTACTTGCAGTTTTCTCGTGTGCAGCGGCCCTGTGAACAGCAAACTAGGAGTCAGATGGTTTGACCACAGAGCTCTCATATCAACAAAACATTAATACTATTGTTAGAACTTATTTCAATATAGCACAACTGAGAAAAAATTGAATGAATAATTAGTTCCTTCATGGAAAAATCTGTCCAATAAATTGTAGTTAAAATATATTGGACTCAAGGCCCAACAGAAATTTTGGCTTACTTTTAAATGTGAGCATAACATATGATTATAAAACATAAATTAATGTAATCATACTGGACCAAGGAACATTCAATAAGTATATATTAAATATATTTAAAGAAATAGCAGAGAAAGAGATCACAGTGATCAGAAATAAACTCAATTCTGTCCACATAATCTAAAGAAATAAAAAAGAAAAGTTGCAGTGTACAGTCCCATAATGTTACTCTCTGCTACCTCTGCTGTACTGGCAATCAGGTCTGAGCAGTTACACCCACAGCAGCTCAATTACCTGGAGGTGCTGCACCTAAAAGGAGCACTATACACTCACCGGCCACTTTGTTAGGTACACCTGTCCAACTGCTCGTTAACACTTAATTCCTAAGCAGCCAATCACATGGCGGCAACTCAGTGCATTTAGGCATGTAGACATGGTCAAGACAATCTCCTGCAGTTCAAACCGAGCATCAGTATTGGGAAGAAAGGTGATTTGAGTGACTTTGAACGTGGCATGATTGTTGGTGCCAGAAGGGCTGGTCTGAGTATTTCAGAAACTGCTGATCTACTGGGATTTTCACGCACAACCATCTCTAGGGTTTACAGAGAATGGTCCGAAAAAGAAAAAACATCCAGTGAGCGGCAGTTCTGTGGGCGGAAATGCCTTGTTAATGCCAGAGGTCAGAGGAGAATGGCCAGACTGGTTCTAGCTCAAATAACCACCCGTTACAACCAAGGTGGGCAGAAGAGCATCTCTGAACGCACAGCACGTCGAACTTTGAGGCAGATGGGCTACAGCAGCAGAAGACCACACCGGGTGCCACTCCTTTCAGCTAAGAACAGGAAACTGAGGCTACAATTTGCACAAGCTCATCGAAATTGGACAATAGAAGATTGGAAAAACGTTGCCTGGTCTGATGAGTCTCGATTTCTGCTGCGACATTCGGATGGTAGGGTCAGAATTTGGCGTCTACAACATGAAAGCATGGATCCATCCTGCCTTGTATCAACGGTTCAGGCTGGTGGTGGTGGTGTCATGGTGTGGGGAATATTTTCTTGGCACTCTTTGGGCCCCTTGGTACCAATTGAGCATCGTTGCAACGCCACAGCCTACCTGAGTATTGTTGCTGACCATGTCCATCCCTTTATGACCACAATGTACCCAACTTCTGATGGCTACTTTCAGCAGGATAATGCGCCATGTCATAAAGCTGGAATCATCTCAGACTGGTTTCTTGAACATGACAATGAGTTCACTGTACTTGAATTGCCTCCACAGTCACCAGATCTCAATCCAATAGAGCATCTTTGGGATGTGGTGGAACAGGAGATTTGCATCATGGATGTGCAGCCGACAAATCTGCGGCAACTGTGTGATGCCATCATGTCAATATGGACCAAACTCCCTGAGGAATGCTTCCAGCACCTTGTTGAATCTATGCCACCAAGAATTGAGGCAGTTCTGAAGGCAAAAAGGGGGTCCAACCCGTTACTAGCATGGGGTACCTAATAAAGTGGCCGGTGAGTGTATATTCCCCATGGGCAACCACCAGATTCTCAAAAGCCATTCATGTAGATAGATCATCCAGCAATCTTTGTTTTTGAGCTCCAGATCTCGACCTGTTCCTTTCCAGTTTTCTCCTGCCTACCGTTCCCCTATCCAATCATTATTTGGGCCTCTAATCTCTGGACATCCCCTCCTGACCAAGTCGGTTTGCCTCTGCGGCTGTCTGCATTCTGTCCATCCTGTGTTACCTAAGACTACCCTCATATGCCTCTGTCCCTCTGGAAACGTCTACCCTGTGGACTGCTTCTCTATGCATGGCCCCAGGCACACTAACATTTTCCCAACTTGCACCTTCAACATGATTCAAACAGCCATTTGAATCAAAAATGGAGCCACTGGGATCAATATTCAGATCAACACACCCTCCTGACTCCTGAGAAGGTTAGTGGCTTTGATTGAGGGCACCTTCAACCCCACCGAGTTGCTCTGGGCCACTAACCCTTTTCTCCTCCCCATAGTGGTTCCAGTTGCAGTCAGTTCCTGTTCCTGCAACACTAATTTACTTTTAAATAAATTCTCTGAATGTTACTTCTTGGTTTCTTAATCCTGGTCCTCAGGCTCATTGTCCTTCGTGTTTTAGATGCATCTGTATGTAGCACAATGGGCCCTAAGGACCAGAGTTAAGAAAAACTGGGCTACAGATTCTGTTCAGGCATTAAAAAATGCATACAATTTGACATTTCTCCTTGACTTCTAGGAACCCAGACCAAAAGCAACCAACAAATGTGATAAATTAATAGATAAAACCAATATTTATATATCTAAAACAAAGTTTCGTTTATATACCTCTAATATTCATAAATAACTACTTTTAACTCATAAATTCGGCTTTTGACAGCATAATACCAAATAGAATATCATTACAAATGCATATGAGCTGCAGAAATAGGATGGATGCCTTGTCAGTCCAGTAATTTCTGTATCCAGACTAGAAAGGCATATTTTGTTTTATACATTTTTGTGTAGTTCCATATTTTAGCTCACAATAGTTATGTTCACTACCATGTATGTGAAAAGTAGATTTATGTGAGAGAGAATTACATTAAGATAGAAAAACATGACCTTTGGGGGATATTATGATTAGGTAATCTAACCACGCTCCTCGCACTGTCTGCAAGCTGTAGGATTGCAGTCTGAGGGATCATGTGTTTGCTTATTTATATGCATTATATGCATTTTAGAATAGTTGCTTTATTCTCCAAACATATTTTTTTCTCAGTGAGTCGACATTTGCTATATCACAACATGGAATCGACTACAAACCACATAATCTGTTAGAAAAATGTAAAAGACAACAGCAACCTCCTCTGTCATATATGAGTATGTACAGCACCACGGGTATTTACCAGGGTTATTCAGCCACAGAGAAGAAAATGACAAAATTGGTTAAATACATTTTCTAATAAAAGTAACACAGAGGGTCTAAAAAGGAATACCTGGTCAATAAAAGTCCTGTTTCAAGTGACTGTCCATCCATGTTAAACAGATTAAGATAAGCTATTCTCGATATTTCTCCACCTTAAATCTAACATATGCCCTGTCATTAAACTTAAAAAGAACTGAAACTGGCTGAAGGAAAAATGCAAAAAATAAAAAAGCCACAGACTAATGTGCTGAATCTTATATAAAAAAAAACCCAGCTTAAGGTTCAATTGCAGCTCTCGTTCCAGTTTGATACAGACCTTCAATCATTTGTAGAAAATCTGACTGACTTGACATAAGACTCAGCATCTTGTGCCACTTGCAAGGATTTTCTTGTCACCTAATCATTTGAATTCCTTAGCTAGTTTGCAGAGAGGCTATAAAGAATCAGAATAAAATCATTAGACATATAGTATAGAAAATCAACAGCATATTTCCATTGCAGACCAGAGAAGAAGATAAGCAATTGAAATATGCAACAACAATGGGAAATAATAAACTGAGTGTTTCCTCCATAACTGATAAAAAGACGAGATGGAAGCAGGCCAGGACTTCTGCCAAGAGCTTGAAAGTAACATCGAAGAAGCTCTCTAGAATGTGTCCTCAGCACTAACATGTGACAATCATCGATCTCAATATGTCTGGACAGTGGTGGACACCTGATGGACAAAAACCTTTTTCTTACAAAAAGAAAAATCTTTCAAAACCGTATTTGATAGAACAAGACTTGGAACATTTGGGCACATTCAAAGAGAGAGTTTGGAACAAAAACAATGGAGCAAACGGCCAAAAGAACACCATTATCATAACAGCATACGGTGGTGACAGTATCATGATATGGGTTTTCCTTTTTTCAGATGGGACTAATTTTTTTTTTGTCAAGGTTGATATAAACTAAGATTTGACCAAAAACCTTTATGACCTTCAAAAAGCTGAAGCTGGAAAGTGATCTTGTTTTTCAAACATTACTCTAAATCCATGCATAGATTTTAGTCACAGGAAGAGTGGTTTTAAACTTAACTTCAGATAGAAACCTGTTGAGCCATATGATGAGGGTGGAGGAAAATAAATGCTTTGAAGACTGTCTGATGTAAGATACTGATAGGCTTCCATCAAATAAAACTTTAGAATTTAATGAAAAAATACTTTAAAAACATCTGACATAATAGTTTACCTTTTACGTTACTATTTTCTATGATTTCCTTGTTTTTAGGGCTGGAACTTACGATTTTTTAGCAAATTGATTCATTTGTTGATTATTTTTTGGAATATTCGATTAATAATCGGGTAGCCAAAGTTTTTTTTTAACGAAATTAAACCAGGTGAAACTAAAACTTTTCCACTTAATGAGTTCTGGATAGAGAATATTGACAGATGAAGACATTTTGTTTTTAATGTTAAATGTAAAATGTTTATATATTTTCTTGATATAATTACTGCTCTAAGTGGGTTCCTCTGTCAGCCAAAGGCATGTTTTACAGTCTCTATATTTAATTTAACAATTAATCAATAACTACATTTGTTGTTGATCTTTCAACATCTTTCATCAATCTTTGTTTCAGCCCTACTTGGTTTCAGTTCAATCTCACAGGAAATATGGCAATGTAAAGATGGAAAAAGACATATACTGGGGTGTGTAGCCAATAGGAGGAACTTTGCAGCAACAGAATTTGAATGTGTGGCACAAGAGTTATATGTACAAAAAAAGCTAAACACAAAAGCAAATGTTGTATTAGATAAATGCAACTCTAAAATTGATACAAGCAAGAGCACATTGCTTGATTATTTGTTAGGTTATCCAGTGAGGAAGAGGTAATCATGAGTTTTAAG